TCATTCTTCTCTGTGGATGTAACCCCCACCTACCCCCCCACTCCCACTTCCCCACCCTCAAAATTCCCACCCCCTGGGGCGTCCAGCCTTCATGAGGTCAAGGATCTCATCTTCCACCTGTGCCCGGCAGGGCCCTCTACTCTTACATATTCAGCTGAAGCCCTGGATCCCTCCATAAGTGCTCCCAGGCTGGTGGTTTAGACCCTGGGAGCTGTGGTTGGTTGGTATTGTTGCTCTCCTCATGGTGCCACAAACCCTTTCAGCTCCTTCAGTCCTCACTCTAACTCCTCCATTGAGAACCTCATGATCAGTTCAATGGCTAGTTGTGAGCATCTGCCTCTGAATATGTCAGACTCTTGAAGGCCTCTGAGGAGACATCCATATCAGGCCCTTATCGGCATGTACTTCCTGACTTCCACATCAGCATCTACCTTTGGTGACTGCATATGGGGTGGATACTCAGGTGGAAAGGTCTTCAAATGGCCCCTCCTTCAGTTTCTGTCCCTCACTTTGTCTCCATGTTTGCTCCCTTGAGTATTTTGTTGCTCCTTCTAAGAAGAACTGAATCACCCCCACTTGGTCTTCCTTTTTTATGAGCTTCATGTGGCCTGTGAGTTGCATCTTGGGCATTTCAAGGTTCTGGGCTAATATCCAATAATCAGTGAGTGAATACCATGTGTGTTCTTTTGTGATTGGCTTACTTCACTCAGGATGATAATTTCTAGTTCCATCCATTTACCTAGGAAACTCTCGAATTCATTGTTTTTAATAGCTGAGTAATACTCCATTGTGTAAATATACCACATTTTTTGAATCCATTCCTCAGTTGAAGGACATCTGGGTTCTTTCCAGTTCCTGGCTATTATAAATAAGGCTGCTAAGAACATAGTTGAGCATATGTCCTTGTTATATGTTCGAGCATCTTCTGGGTATATGCCTAGGAGTGGTATAGCTGGATCCTCAGGTAATGCTATGTCCAATTTTCTGAGGAACCGCCACACTGATTTCCAAAGTGGTTGCACCATCTTGCAGTCCCACCAAACTCACAGATTTTGAGTGCCTGCCTCTGCCTCCCAAGTGCTGAGGTTAAAGGCGTGCGCCACGATACCTGCACTAGTTTGATTCCTGTCTCTGTGATCAACACCAAGAGTATTGACAGAAGTACCTCAGGGTAGGACAGGATTTACTTCAGCTTTCACTTTCAGGTGACAGTCTGTCATTGAGAGAAGTCAAGTCAGGAGCTTAATGTCGAAACCATGGAGGATTGCTGCTTCCCAGCTTGCTTTCCCTCTGGCGGGCTCTGCTAGCTTTTTTATATGGCCCAGGCTTGCCTGCTTATGTTGGGTGCTGCGGAACCCACAGGGGACTTGTTTCCCATCAATCATCCTTCAAGACAGCTCCCTGTGTAGACATAGGCCACTCTGATCAAGACAATTCTTCATTGTCTTTTTCTTGTTCCCAGGTGACATGTATTAAGTTGACAATAAAAACTAGCCAACAGCTTGATTTATTTCCATTTGTATGGCTGAATGTGTGTGTGTGTGTGTGCGCGTGTGTGCACATGTGTGCATGTGTGTGTGTGCATAGCAGCTCTATAATTGAAAATAAAAAAATCGTTCAGCAGAAAATGGATAAATAGGTTTTAACACATCTGTGTAGTGAATTCTAGTCTGCTGAGAAATAAGAAAATTGATGAGCTACTAAGCCCTGTGAGGACGTCAAAGCTCCATCTGACCTAAAGAGGCCGGTACAAGCCACACAGCATCAGATTTCACTTGTAAGACTCTGGAAGGCTCTTCTGGAAGAGATGAAAGTGATGTAAAAGAATCAGAACAGTGGTTGGCCTTGGAACTGGGAGGGCTTGGCCAGGAAGGGACAAGAGAGTGTTCTGGAATGGTGGGAGTGCACTGTCTTGGAAGAGATTTGCTTGTACCAGTGTCAATATTGAGAAACTCATGAAATCCATACCTGACATGTCTTTGGCTCTGTGAAGACAATGCCTCTGTTCCTAAACGTTTGTTGTAGAATTGATTTATAATCAGACAACACTTCTTACGTCAGCTTCTTTTTTCCCCCGGCTTGTTAGCGTAAAGGTTTGTTTTAAACCAGATCAGCTTCTTGACAGGACACTGCATTCCAGCTGCAACCAGCTGACCCCGTCCCTCCGGCTCCCTCTTTCTCAGAATTCCCATGCCCTGCAGTCCTCAGAGCAGCTCCAGCCTGGGTTTTCTGTCCAAATTAGACCCTTGAAGTCCAGACTCTTAAGGCTAGCCTTTGTATTTCAAGACAGTTGACAAGATCACCACCGTCTTATATCATTGACAATATAAGGACTTAGATCGTGTGGTGTCAGGAAATGGATTTCTATTGAAAAGTTCTCTTCTATGTTGCTGTAGTCCCCGACCCTCCGTTTTCTGTAAGCAGGCATAACTGCACCTCCTTAGTAGCAGTTGTCAGAATTAAATGAGACCACTGTAGGACAGATGCCTGAGCCTGGCACTGAGACGCTGGGACACGTGGCACCTGGGCCCCTGCTTGTGTCTGCAGTGACCTCTCTTTACACAGAGTTTTCCCTAGCCTCCAGGGAAGTTTACCTGCTGGAGCCCTGTGCACTTTCATGTCTGTTCTCTGGAGAGCAGAAGTGGAGAACCCACTTGGCTTCTAAGATCTTTTTTCCCTGCTTTAAGGGTGTCAGCATTGAAGCCATGAGTGAGAGTAAAATGGCGTCCTCTGAGATCAGCTCGGGGCCTGTGGAGAAAGCTGCCAAGCCATTGCCCTTTAAGGATCCCAACTTTGTGGTAAGCATATAAGGTGGTATACAAATACAGGGTACTGGCCTCTGATCTAGCTGGCCTGAGACAGCTCTGAAGTACCCTCTCCCTCAATCCCATTTGCCACCTTCTCCTGTGGGCTGTTGAAGTGGGGGTGGAGGAGTAAGGGGGAGTAGGGATTGGGGGGGTGGCAGTTGGGGGGAGGAGGGATATGGGACTGGACAGAAAAGACCCTTTGTGATCTCCCAGTATACCAGGCTCTTTCAGAATTCCCCAGAGGACAGATCTTAGAACTTTGAGGAGGCATCTTTTCCATGATTGTTTCCCTGTGTTTTTTTAATTGGCTTTAAATAATTTTAAAAGAAGCTTGAGGTATACAATTAAAATAGGAACACTCCTCACTAACCCTTTAAATCCCTTTGATTCATGAGGGTTATATTAAGTAACCAGTTAGAAATGATAACTTTAAAGGTGTATTTATTAATGAGTTTTGGCAATCCTCTGTAGCCAGGGTCTGCAAATATGTTAGTAGTCTTTTCCATTTCATGCTTTTAATCTTTATAGCACAGAAAGAAATTTCCAGAAGGCTTGCCATACCATGATTGAAGCTTATTTGAGTTTTCCAGGATCACTAGTGATTATGAAGCACTGTGACACACCCTCTGAGGGGGTTTAGAGATGTAGTCTCCAGAGTAAATCCAACTTTGTGGTAAACTTATTTTAAAAGAATGAGGTCATAAGTGAATTCAACTAGATTGGACCCTATAAAGAATTTTTCCTGTGTGCATGCTGAAAAATAGCCTCTTACTCCTATCCTTTCACCAGCACACTTGTGGGTTTGAAGAGCCCCCAAAATAGGTTCTTTTTGTTTGCTTGTTTATTTTAGTTTTTTGGTTTGTTTTTGGCTTTTGAGAAAGGGTCTCCTGTAGCACAGGCTGGCCTCAAACTCATCCTGTAACTGAGGCTGGCCTTGAACTCCCAATTTTTCTGAGTCTACCTCCTGAGTGCTGGGATTATAGGAACATCCACCATGCATAGCTAAAAACCATGTTCTTTCAAGAAAAGATTAAAGTCTACAGTGAGGTACTTTTAAAGGTCTCAGTGGCACAGATGGTTCCTGATAGAATCATCGATTCTCTGGGTGTGTCTTCCACTGACTTGTCTCTTCTAACCCCTCTTTAATTCAAGCACTCTGGCCATGGTGGCGCAGTAGCTGGCAAGAAGAATAGAACCTGGAAGAACCTCAAACAGATCCTCGCTGCTGAAAGGGCGTTGCCATGGCAACTGAACGATCCTAACTGTGAGCTGTCTAGAGCCTTCCATGTGTTTGTAATGCAGACAGGAACTTCCTTACAACAAGCCTACGTTATTTGCTCGTGTTTGTGTTATTTCAGGGAAATGTTCTTAGCCTGAGAACCGTGCAGTGGCACCCATCCAGGGATATTCTGCATGTATTCCCTTTCCACTGAGTTGGTTTGAGTCTGTTTGTTTGTCATGGGTGTGTGGTTTTTAGTATCATTATTTAAAATTTCATTCTGGAGAAGTAGATCCTGCCGTGATAATGTTGATGTTTCTATTAGGCTTCTCATTTTAAAATCTACTCTTTAAGTCTTTTCACAAACAACATAGCCCACCTAATGTGAGGACTGGAAAGTCTGCAGCGTGCAGGTACCAGCCACTCGCTCACTCTCTCCTCCCACTGTAGGATGGCCTGGCCTGGGCAGAATCCATTTGATGTTCTGCTCAGCTACATTGGAAACTTTAGGTTCCAAGACCTCTCCACCTCCTGCCCTGCTGTGTGTCTTTCATAGAGGTGACTCAGAGGGTGACAAGTTAGTCATCTGGGTGTGGACCACTGGAGTCTGGGTGTGTGGACTCAGCTAGAGGCTGTGTGGGTTTTCATCTCTGCCAGTGCCTCTTAGCTGGAGCCTGTGAAGTAGGCTGTGGGTAGATGGCACCTTGGGTTCCACTGTAGGACCTTGTCTCTGGTAGCAGGGCAGGACCCTAGCTGCGCCCACACTTAGTCTGTGACGTGCTAGGCTGTTTTTGAACCGTCTCACTTACTTTTCTGTTTAATCCCCATTGGCTGCTGTAAGTGTGTAATCACAAAGGAAAATTTCAGGACTGTTGTCATGTTAGCTTAGAATAAAGGAGGGGATTGGGATATTTGGAAGGCTGTTTGGTGATCTTCTTTTCTTTCTTCCTTTTAGACTTTAGTATTGACGCTCCTCCATCCTTTAAGCCAGCTAAGAAGTATTCTGATGTTTCAGGCCTTCTCGTGAGTATAATTACATCTGTCTATAGTAGCATTGAATATAAGATTTCAGTTTTGTATCTCTAGACAGATGGCCCTGCCCAGATTCATGCTGTGACCTGAGTGTCTATGTGGGATAACCTGGAGGCGCCATTACTCCAGTAAGCAAGACACAGAATTTTCACTGTTTTTCCTCTGATAGTTAACTGTATGTGACAATATGAATGAACCAGCCTTTCTGTTTTTACTCTTAAGCTTTTAAAATACTCATATTACACAGTTGGTGGTAGTTTAAAAACAAATGTTCTGAGCTGATGCTATAGCTCAGTGGTCGAGCAACTGCCTACCATGCCCAGAACCATAGAATGGATCTTTAAATGAGAACAAGCACAGACTTAGAAGCCTCTTCCCAAATGTAACCAACATATGTAAAAGAGCCCTCTGTCCATGTGGTACTGTATGTACCTGGTCCTGTGCCCTCCCCTGCCCCCAGCAGTCCCTTCACACCTCTGGAGCAGAGCTGGAGGTGTGGGATCAAGGAAAAGCTGATTCTTGGCCTGGAGAGCCTGCTTCCACTCCGGGTGCAGAGCCTGTAGAGAAACTCCAGCCCAGCCTCATCCATCTCTAGTAAATCTGAAACGTGGCTTTTTCTGCTAATTATAGAAACAACAAAGCATGCTATGTTTAAAATTCATCTGTGTATCATTTCCGTGCTTTGCAGTTTAGTGAGGATAACTGACTCCCCCATCTGTCACAAACTGGCCAAATTCATTGTATCCATTATACTAGGAGAATCGCTTACTCTCTGTCAGCTCCTGGTTCACTTCATTGTTCTGGTATGCTTCTGTCTGATTCATATAGATATGGGTCAAGGTGTTTGTTCTTTTAATGCTATTTGCTGTGAACTTGGCCTCTGTATGGTGGAGTTGAGCCTAAAGAGGTAGGCCTGGTGAATTAATGATGTTTCTTTTTTTGTTTTTTCCTTTTTTTTTTAAAGCTTTTTAAATTTTATTTTATATATTCACCATTGCTGTCTTCAGACACACCAGAAAAGGGCACCAGACCCCATTGCAGGTGGTTGTGAGCCACCATGTGGTTGCTGGGAATTGAACTCAGGACCTCTGGAAGAGCAGCAGTGCTCTTAACTGCTGAGCCATCTCTCCAGCCCAATGATGTTTCTTAAAAATGGGTCACATATGAGTCAGCTCCCATAGGAATGGACCTGTTTCTGCAGGAGAGGGCTGTCATGGAAAGAGCCTCATTTTTCCTCTTCTTTCTGTACATGCATGCCTTCCCTGTACTTGGCCTGTTTTCTTCACACCATGTTGAAATGCAGCCAGGTGGGGCCTTCAGCAGGATGCCAACATTGAGAGATTACTAAGCCCCTTTTCTTCTTTAAGAAGAAAATACACGGGGCTGGAGCGATGGCTCAGCAGTTAAGAGCACTGACTGCTCTTCCAGAGGTCCTGAGTTCAAATCCCAGCAACCACATGGTGGCTCACAACCATCTGTAATGAGATTGGATGCCCTATTCTGGTGTGTCTGAAGACAGTGACAGTGTAATCATAAATAAAATAAATAAATAAATCTTTAAAAAGAAAAAAGAAAATTAACTATTAAAAAAAGATTTTTTTTAAAAAGAAAATACACACACACACACACACATACACATACACACACACACACACACACACACACACACGTATACACGCTTTATATGTGAAAGTGTTTAGTCTGCATGTCCACCATGTGTGTGCCTGGTATCCTCTGAGGACATCCTGTAGCTGGGTATCCAGCAGGTGCTCTAACCATTGAGCCGTCTCTCCAGCACTATAAGCCTCATTTCTTTATAAGGCATCCAGGTATTTTTTTGAATAGCACCATAGAATGAACTAGAACACTGTTCCAGCTTTCTTTTTGTGCAAGTTTGCATGTCATATCTGCCATGCAGTTGGTATTTATTTGTTTGTTTGTTTTCCTTAGTCTGTATTTTTGTATTTAGACTGGGTAGAGAGGGTCTTGCTTTGTACCCATCTGACAGTCTGACTCCAGGTGCTAGTTTTATGTGGTTCACATTTCCAGCGGCCATTAGTGTAGGCGAGTTTAATCTACCTCCCCTAGCTGTTTTCTCTGTTCCCTCTGTGTGCCTTTGTCCCTTGCTCTGGTCTTCTGTCAGTCTAATTGGGCATGTTAAACACTTTGTAACAGTTTTAGCTTACAGTGAAACTGAGAGGCTATTCTGGGGGCCTTCTCACAGACTCCAGATTTAGCTCGTTCTGTAAACGACTGTGGTGCATTTGTTCTGATTAGTGAACCAGTAAGGATGGCATTGTTCCCAGTTTATTTCCCTTTGCTTAGTTTGGGGCCACCAGAGCCCAGTGATAAAGCTTTGCCTCAGTGTATTGGGTGGCTTGATCCTTAGTACCACCAACAGAGAGAGGAGGGGAGGGAGAGAGAAGGGCAGGTTGGGAATAGGAGGGGTGGGGATAAATGTCCTTAGCTTTTGGCCAAGCCCAGTGTCCTATCCTGTCTAGGTTACCATGTCATAATTAGTTGTCGTAACTCTTTAGACCAGCCTTAACTGTGGCAGTTTCTCAAATTGTCCTTGTTGTTGACAACTTTGTCTCAGGTTTTCCTTGTGTTGTTTTGAGATGAGTAGTCTTCTTGTGTTTCTCTAGTAGCCTTGAACTCCTGTGCTCATACATGATTCCCCTGCCTCAGCCTCAGGAGTGCTGGGATTAAAGGCACAAGCCACCACAGCTAGCTGCTGGTCCGATCCTTTACAGGATGCTCTGCAATGGAGCTGCGTCACATGGTTTCCTCCTGAGGGTACCTGGCTAACCGGACATCTAGGTTGCTATTTATACCTCCGTCTTTATCAAAGCTGAGTGGCTGTCCTCATGGTCCTGGTGCCCATCTCGCCATAGTCTGAGTTTATGTTCAGCACTACACTGCTTGTCTGGAATGCGAATGAAGCTCTGGTACTAATTCATCTCCTTCTGGCACGTTCTTGTGTTCTAAGCTGTCGTGTTTATTTGTAAGATTACACAAAGTAGACTATTATTAGTTCTTGCTTCAGTTAGTTTTTAGAGAAATAAAAATTTAAAGAATTTTTTTTTTATTCTACTTCCGGCTTTTCTTCCATTTGGCAATCTGATCCCACGGCTTTTAATAGAATGACTTCCTGAACTGCGTCTGTGACTGCTGTGTTCTTGGTCATTGGTCTTCTGCTGCCTCTGGTCTGCTGCACCGTGTGCTTCACTCACTTCAGGGGTTCCCTGCAGCAGGAAAGCTGCTATGGCCCCATTACTGTTTTGTCCTCAGATGGGAATCTTGCCCTTGCCATTTTGAGCAGCTGGAACTCATGGTTTATGAGCAGACATGGAAGCTAGCCCCTTGGTGTGTTCACTTTCTCCTCAACCATGGCAAGCAGTTGGTACAGTGGCTTTCACCTGTGAAGAGGCATAGCATCGTTTTGAAAAATATTACTTCACGTTGCATGTAAGATTTAAGGTCTTCAGACGAGGAACCTTACTACCAAACCACCGACAGAGGGTCCTTAAGAGAAATGAGGACGAGCTAGGCAACAGCAGAAGGAATACAGACGAGCAGGCAGGGATTCAGCCTCACTGGGAGCTGGAAAGAGCGTCAGATGGGAGGACTGAGGATGCTAGCTTGTACATTTCATCCTGGATGTACAGGAATTGTATGTTCATGCACTGGCTTGCGGGTAGAAAGGACATTGACACACCTCCCTTGAGTGGCAGTTTGATATTTTCTTCTTAAGAAAAACAAAATAAAACTAAACCCATATGACCTGGCTGTTTGCCTTTTTATGCAGCTCCCTGGAAAAATAGGATGTGCAAGGAACTTAAGAATATCCCTGAGCGACTGTTAGCAAGGTTTTGGGGTCCCTTGAAGGTCTGCTGCTGCAGTGTCTTCCTACTGTTCTGTGAGCTCCCAGATCCGTGTGGCAACAACATGGATGACATTCCAGGGTACATTCCTGACTAGATGATGCCTAACCGTGTAGATTATATGGTGGTGGTACATAAAGACACACATAAACACACTGGATAATTTCTCTGCTTGCTTTGGTTAGTAAGGGTATAAATTTTAAAACTCTGGAAGGGTCCCCACCTAACAGTGGCTTTCTCAGGAGAAACAAGACTTTGAGGTAGAAGATGTTGGTAAAGGGTACTTTCATCCTCTATGTAATATTTTCATTTTACTTTTTAGATGACAGTATATAGTTCATCTTCCTTGGGCACAGGAGAAAGGCATGGGGGTGTGTCACATCTGCATGGAACCCTCTTTACAAAAGCTATGATGACTCTTGTGGCTCCAGAGGATATGGGGAAGTGTGAACCATACCTGTCATCCTAAAATCGGGGCAGTGGGGTAAAGCTGTTTGCCGAGTCCCTCTCTGCCAAGCAGCCTGTGTTTTCCTCCAGTCTTGAGGGACAGAACACAGAGGAGGATGGGATGGCTCAGGGATATTATTTGACACGTTCCTTTCTATTCAGAGCGCTGCATGTTGACTGCTGGGTCTGGTCTGTTTCAGCTCTTTTTGGTGACCATTTTGTCTGTGCCACAAGATCTCTGTATTCCAGATTGTTTATACAGCAGCTTTCTTGGCAGTGAGGTGTGAAGTCGGTGGCCAGCTCGGTGCAGTTTGGTGGTAGGAGTGAGGCTGCAGCATATGGAGCCACACCGAGGCTGGTTCATAGGTTTACATATGGAGCCAGATAATCCAAGCCAAATTCATGTGCCTACATCCTGCTGAGGACCTGAGGGTGGCTCACCCCTGCTAGGTAGCTAACCTAATTGCTGCACAGCCAGAGCTCACCAAAACAGACAGGAGACAGTATCTGAAGTAGTATTCCTTCCCAGGCCCCACTCTCCATCCTCCGTCCCCCACCCCCCATCCCCCAGCTCTTACATCTCTCTGCTCCTGTCCTTGAGCCTTGGAAGGGATGGGACTTGGTCCACCTTGGACTGAACATTCACCAGTCACTTATTCTCAGCTCTCTTACTGGCCAGGAGTCTGCAGAGATGGGAGTTAGAAAGCAGGGACATGTGACCACTAATAAGAAGTGTCCCAGGGTCTGATGGCACTGTTTCCTCTTCCTCCAGTATGTCCCTTGGTGCATTTCTCAAGTTTGGAGAGATGAATGAGTTTTTGCCAAAGCAAGCAATTTAGTGTTGCTAGTGACGGCAAAACATAATGAAGATGTATTTTACTTCAAGTAAAGTGGAAAAAGATTAAAGTTTGTACTTGAAATATCCTCACCAACAACTTTCCATCCTTCTCTCTTCCTGTTTTGCACCCAGGCCAACTACACAGACCCTCAGAGCAAGCTGCGCTTCAGCACTGTTGAGGAATTCTCCTATATTCGCAGGCTGCCTTCAGATGTGGTCACAGGCTACCTGGCCCTGAGGAAGGCCACGAGCATTGTGCCCTGAACCGCAGAAGTGGAGATGAAGTGGGAATGGCCTCGAAAGCAGACTGCACTTGTGACTTTGTTTCATGAAAACAAGTATTTCTGCTGTCAATCTGAAAATGTCAGCTCCGGGCTTTGGAAAGAATGTCTGCCTTTACTGTGAGGGTTTTTTTTTCCCCCACTCCAAGTACAGCCTTCCTAGTTGAATTAAATCGTACTTCAGTTGTTGCCTCAAATAAAAATTGTTTGATAAGAAATGCAGTAAAATTAGGCATTTAAATTAACTCAAGCAAGTCCCTGAATTTTGTTTGCAAGTTGTGAACTCATCCAACACTTTCAAAGAATGTGCAATGAAGACACACAGGTCTGGATTGTTCTGGAGCCTGATAAGCATTCTGGCCTTTCTTTGGATCAGAAGTTTCTGTGTGTTTTCTACTGTACTGTTGAATGACTTTACCCATTATGGCCTGCCTGCTGCTGATGTATTTGTCTCTGCCGCGTGGTGAATTGTGGCATTGGCTTCCAGGGGCCAAAAGAGAAATCCAGCTCTTAAAAGGAAAAGTATTTAGCTAGATAGAGGAAAACAGATTTTGGAGGTTTAGGCTTTAAGACTACTCTGTTGCTTTTGCAGGGGACCCAGGCTTGGTTCCCAGCACTCACATGGTGACCCACAGGTATCTCTAACTCCAGTTCCAGGGCATCCATTACTGACTTCACTGGGCAAGAAAATACATACACGCAGGCAAACTCTCATACATATAGAAATAATAGAAATCCTTTTTAAAAATTTGTATTTTTTCTTAAGACCACACTGATATCAAGACTGCTCTGAGGTGAGTCCTGATACCTGCTGCATGTCTTCCCTGTAAGAGAAGAGCCTTGAGGTGTACCTTAAAGTGACCAGAATGTTAGAGATACACCTTGCAGAGCTGGGGTGAGGAAGACCTTCTTATCACTGTAGTTACTCTTCTTGCAGTGACCAAATGCCCGACAAGAAGGAATACATGCCCGTTGTTATAGGATATCATGACAGCAGGAGCATGAGGCAGCTGGCCGCACTGCAACCATGGCCATGACACAGAACAGACAAGAAATAAGGCTGGACTGTAACCCTTCAAGGCCTGCTCCAGTGACCCACTTCTCCAGAGAGGCTTTACCACCCAACAACCTTCCAAAACTGCCACCCACCCCAGGCACCAACTATTCCAACATATTTTACACTCAGATCACTACACCATGTCTCCAGAGTTAAAGCATGTATCCACCCAGACTTCAAATGTGCTTTGTAACTGTTGATGACCCTGTACAAAGGGCCAAAGTATTTCCCATCAGATAGCACTTTTTTGAACCCATGCCTCATGGGAAGAGATCACAGGATTTGACCCATCATCAGATAGGACCAGGTACCCTACAGAGATGTCACAATGATGGCTTCCTACATGAAACAGTCAAATCAATTTCCAATAATGCTCTCATCTGAGAGAATGCATGAGCCTTATTTGGATCCTGGTTCAAATGAAAAACTTAAACTATTTATAAGACAATTATAAACTTGATAGATTTTGATATGTGAAGATATTTATGAGTACTTTTAATCAGACTGCTGGTATATAGTGTTAAGGAAAGGGCTCATATTTTAGAGACAAAGGCTGAAACATTTATGGACAGAGTGATTTGATATCTGAGATTTGTTTTAGGATGGTGTGGGAGGGAGGAAATGAAGTAGTGTTGAAATAGTATTGGCCACAAGTCAGCTATTGTGTGCCAAGAAGCTCCCCACACCAGTCTACTCTGTATGTGTTTGAATTTCTCCATAATAAACTAAGCAAAGACATGTTTTTTGGGGGTGTTTTTGTTTGCTTGTTTTGGTTTTTTGAGACAGCCCTGTCTGTCCTGGAACTTCCTTTGTAGACCAGGCTGATCCTCCTTCCGCTGCCTCCCAAGGCGTGCACCACCATGCCTGTCTGGCATTTTATTACTAACAATTGAATAGAGAAATTACTCAGTTTCTGAACCCTTTCAGACAAAGTGTAGGTTAGGAAGAAATAAGCACAGGGTGGCAAAACTCCTCTAGAAATGCTCTGAGTTGATGTCATCTTTGCTGTACTGTTTTGGAGTCAGAGAACTCTTGGTCAACTTTCTGTTGCTATGACCAAAACACCTGAAAAAGTTAGCACATTCACGATCCGGTCACCCCTCAACTGAGCCACCATTTGGGGACCAAGCTTTCAGTTCACAAGCCTTTTGTGGGATGGGGATATTAATCAGTCATATTCCTAACAGAAGCTGCACATGGAGAAAGTCTGAAATCTGTCAGCACAAATCCAGCTGTCTGTCTCTGCAGAGCATCCCAAACAGCCTAGCAAGGAGGATAACAGAAATAGACAAACTGGTATGTTCCAAACATCGTTTCCAGAGTCTGGCATCGTCTAGGAAGGGGCTTTGTCTTTAGAAAGACCAGAAACGAATCTTTATCTCTAGCTAGCAGTTTCCTCCCGTTTGTTTTCATGAGAGATAGTCACCAAGGCCTGGGCTGGCTTGCTGCAAATAGTCCTTGTAATATACTACACTGCAAAACCTCAGGCCACAGTCACCAGCATTCATCCTGCAAACACCAGGAGAAATTAGATCTTTGAAGCACTAAGCACAGGCAAGCTGTTGGGGTGAGAGGAACTGCTGTCACTGAATGTAAGTTGGCCTTGTGCCTTACTAAGGAAGGACCTGGGCAAGGGAGAAGACACAACCCTACAAAGACACTGTTATAGTGAGGTGTACAGGCTGATTTTGTGTCCTAAACACAAGCTAGAGTCATCAGAGAGGAAGGAACCTCAGCTGAGGAAATGCCTCTGTAATATCCAGCTGTAAGGCATTTTCTTAATTAGTGATCAGTGGGGGAGGGACCAGCCCATGGTGGTGGGTAGTGTCATTCCTAGGATGGTGGTACTGGGTTCTGTAAGAAAGCAGGCTATGGAAATCTATGGATTGCAAGCCCCTTCCTTGTCTTCTGTGTCAGCTCCTGCCTTCAGGATCCTGCTCTGTTTGAGTTCCTGTCCTGACTTTCTTCAACAATGAACCATAAGTAAATATAAGCCAAATATAAACCCTTTTCTCTCCAGCTTGCTTTCTGGTCATAGTGTTTTGTCACAGCCTTAGAAACCTTATCTAAGACATTAAGGTTTATGGTGCCCATGACCAAAGCAACTTGAGGAAGAAGGGAGACAAGAACCTGGAGACAGGAGCTGATAGAGAAGCCTTGGAGAGGTGCTGCTTACTGGTCCGCTCCCCATGACTTGCTCAGCCTGCCTTCTTATAGAACCCAGGACCACCAGCCCCAGAATGGCACCACATAGAGTGGTCTAGGTACCCCCTCAATTTCTAATTAAGGAAATACCTTACGGTGGATCTTATGTACCTCAATTGAGCATCCCTCCTTTCAGATAACTCTATCCTGTATCAAGTTGACACAAAACTAGCCAACCTATTGTGTCTGTTGCAGAAGCATATCCCAGGGTCTCCTCCTGCCCCACAAGGTGAGCTTTTTGGCTCAGCATTCAAAGCTGGGCTCAAGTTATATTTTGTTCCACTTCTATAAGCGGCCAACCAGGTAGTCTAGGCCAGTCGCTAGTTCTATCTTAAATTATTAATCCTTTATAAAAATGTACATCCTGATAGACTCAACAAACAGGATTCATGTTAAACGTGAGAGGCTCAGAATATTCCATTCAGTCCCTTGAAGTCTGGCTGTGATCTCCCACCTCCAATGGTCTGAGTTAGAAGTGGGTCTCCCCTCTTCCCTGATTGGAACCTCCTGCTTGACTGTTTTCCTCATTCCTCTCGAATGGAAACTTGCAGTCCATGGGTGGCAACTGAACATCTGTGACAGATCTCTTTGTGCTTGTCTCTGGTTTCTGTTAGCTGTTCTTACTGCTTATCTTAGACATGTACCTCACCTTTTAGTCTGTGTGTTTTAACAAGCCAGTTCTTTTTTATGGGTCAAAGGAAGGTATAGAGTAAGTAGCTAAATAAACAAATGTCATTGAGAATGTAGCTTGGTTGGCAGTGTTTGCCTAGCAGGATGGAAGCCCTGGATTCAGTCCCCAGTGCTACAGAAAACCACTCCTGGGGACACAGGCCTATAATCCCAGCATTTGGGAGGTAGAGGCAGGAAACTCAGTTTAAAATTAGTCTAACACTCCACCTGAGTATCTATCCCATGTGCAGTCACCAAAGGTAGATGCTGATGTGGAAGTCAGGAAGTGCATGCTGATAAGAGCCTGATATGGATGTCTCCTCAGAGGTCTTCAAGAGTCTGACATACTCAGAGGCAGATACTCACAACTAGCCATTGAACTGATCATGGGGTTCTCAATAGAGGAGTTAGAGTGAAGACTGAAGGAGCTGAAAGGATTTGAGGCACCATGAGGAGAGCAACAATACCAACCAACCACAGCTCCCAGGGTCTAAACCACCAGCCTGGGAGCACTTAGGGAGGGATCCAGCGCTTCAGTTGAATATGTAAGAGTGGAGGGCCCTGCTGGGCATAGGTGGAAGAAGAGAACCTTGACCACATGAAGGCTGGATGCCCCAGGGGGTGGGAATTTTGAGGGTGGGGAGGTGGGAGTGAGGGGGGTGTAGATAGAGGTTACATCCACAGAGAAGAAGGAGGAGGGGTGAAGGGATTGGGGGTTCCTGGGTGGGTGGGGGATGGGGTAAGGGGACAACATAGGAAATGTAAATAAAACATCCAATAAAAATAAAAAAAATAATAATAAAAAAAAGAATTATGAAAAATTTTATATCACCAAAAAAAAAATAAAAATAAAAAAATAAAGTTAGTCTAAACTATGTAGTGAGTTTGAAACCACCCTGGGTACATGAGACCCTGTAGCAGAGAGAGAAGAGAGAGACAGAGACAGAGAGACAGAGAGAAGAGAGGAGGAGGAAGAGGAGGAGGAGGAGGAGGAAGAGGAGGAGGGGAGGAAGAGGAGAAGGAGGAGAAAGAGGAGGAGGAGGAGGAGAAGGAGAAGGAGAAGGAGAAGGAGAAGGAGAAGAAGAAGAAGAAGAAGGGGAGGAAGAGGAGAAGGGAGGAGAAGGAGGAGAAAGAGGAGGAGGAAAGAAGAGGAGAAAGAAGAAGAAAGAAAGAAAGAAAGAAAGAAAGAAAGAAAGAAAGAAAGAAAGAAAGAAAGAAAGAAAGAAAGATAAAGAAAGAAAGAAAGAATCTATAACTGAGACAGGGAGGGAGTGAGGCCTGGTGAATGGAGAACAGAGACCTTGATGGACAAGCTCCTCCAGAGTCAAGATCAAGAATCCCAGCAAAAGTGCTTGCTGGTCCTCATAAGCATCGTTAGTTCTTTCTGTGTTTGGTGTTCCTTGTGTATCCTACCATGATCTGTTCCCCATGGATAGCAGGCCATAAACCCTTATAAGCAAACAAAAATGAGGGCCAGTTGTCTGCTTGTGTTGGTGACTAGGTAGGGTGGAGACAGAGGGTCCTTCCTACTGTAAACATAGGACTCCTGAATCCACCTGGGTTTCTTCCATGACTCAGTGGCCTCTGTTCCAACTGCAGACAAAGCCCTTCCTGGAAGAGCTGGTATTTTCCTGGCCTACAGGATGCTGGCTGTTGACAGGTGCATAGTGTACACCAAACACAGCTCTCCTCACTGGGCTCAGGAAGATGAGTCACATCCACCAGCCTGGTGACTTGGCGTCTTGGCTCTTTCCATTGTGCACATGGGCCAGTATGGCCTAGAGTCGCTCAGTGTGGAATACTGAAGGGCTTTTGCAGCTCTCCAGTCAAGACCTCTGTAACTGATATCTCCCCTAATAGCTGGGGAGGAAACTGGTCACCCGAGATAAAGAGGAAAGGGTCTGGCCTTTTTTAAAGAAAATACCAGACCTTGAAAAATGATACCTCATCTGGGCTGTGGTGACGCACGCCTTTAATCCCAGAACTTGGGAGGCAGAGGCAGGCGGATCTCTGAGTTTGAGGCCAGCCTGGTCTACAGAGTGAGTTCCAGGACAGCTTGGGCTATAAAGAAAAACCCTGTCTTGAAAAAAAAAAAAAAAGAAAGCAAGAAAGAAAGAAAAGAAAAATGATACCTCAAAAGATTTCATTGGTACAGTTGCCCACACTTCTGGCTTGACTGTCTGATATATTTTGTAGAGGATTTGTACCCTGTGCACTCATATGCCTCTCTGTGTAGGAAGCAGTCTCAGGGACGTTGGGTCATCCTCACAGGAAACATGATTTGAGCCTGCCTGAAGCCTCTGGGAATGATGTAGGGAGGGTATGTATTGGCTCCCTGGGACCGCTGCACTTCACCACTTCCCTCCCACCATGGTTCAGTGTAGAATGGCGGCCCCTCTTCGAGTGCTGATGCTTTTATACCTCCACCCTCCAGAACCAGGAATACAATGAGTGTTTATAACTTACTCAGCATGTGGTGTTCTGATAGAGCAGCAGCAGAAGATCATCTAGAATGTCATTTTATAGGTTTTTTTTGTTTTGTTTTGTTTTTTAAAAAAATATGGAATGGTTCATGCCAAGGAGCTCAGACGTGACTTTTAGGGAGGAAGTGGGTTGTTAGGGGTGGAGGGTAGCAAAGAAGGGGACCTTAAATATTTGGAAAGTGGGGGAGAGAAATCTGATTTAGCTCAAGGTTAAAAGACTGATGACACTGTCTCCTGGAACTCGGGCTCACATACTTGGTGTGGCACCTTTTTTTTTTTTTTTTTGGTTTTCTGAAACAGGGTTTCTCTGTGTAGCCCTGGCTGTCCTGGAACTCACTCTGTAGACCAGGCTGGCCTCAAACTCAGAGATCCACCTGCCTC